GACATTTTCCCTAGTTATGGTGACTTGTTTAATTGCCCTAGGCAAGGAGTATTAGGTGCCAGACAGGTAGTAAAGAATGCTGATGACATTTTCATGCCTCTCAGTCTGCTGAGAAAGAGTACAGGTGGCCAATTCTGGGGTGTGGGGAGAAGAGGAGTGGTCCCATTACAAGGGGGACTCACTTCATGCAGCATCGAAATTCCTAAAAAGTGTTCTTGCAGTTTTGGTGAATGCTTTATTAGAAACGGAGGTGAGGGCTGCTATTTAAAAGAACCTTGCAGTCAGCGCCATAAGGGAGACAATCTTTTTGTATTGTGCATCATCCCTCCAGCCTATTCAGTGAGTTTGGAGTTTCTTGGACCAGATTATGCTGGGCCTGGCAGCCTCTGACAGAGCTTGCTGTAATGGCCTGACATGGTTTATTTGGTGATGCTACCCAAAAGTGGATCCTGAGGTCTGGAGCTAGTGGCGCAGAGTTGTTGGTAGGTAGTCACTCTGTGAGTGGTTCCCTGCAGTTGGCTCAGTGCCGGGAACGAACCCCACAGGGGACTTCAGGGTTTCATTTTGGGGAGAGTCATAAAAACCTGCCTGAGAATATCCATGCCTTCAAAACATTAACCCATTAGTTTGAGATAACATTCCCATTGTTTGTGTAAAACAACTTGTTCAAGCTACTGTTTTTAACTGTTTTATTCAAAGAGGGAGAGCTGACTTCTGAATGGTGCAGGGGAAACCTGCATTCAGATACAGCATCTGTATTAGGCAATGTGAGAAAATCTCTAGCTGCTCCATGAAGGTAAGTCATCAGAGCACTAGTTGGTTTACTGGTCTGTCTCCCAGCTCGAAGGATACAAATGGTACAGCCCAGCCTCTTAGATCCACCAAATGCTACACTGGAAGGGGGCCTTCCAGACCAACATTTCCCAACACCCACAGGTATTCACAGTTGTTATATAATACAGAGATTCTGCAGTCAGATAAACTTGAGCAACACAGGTCTAGATCAAGTCAGACAGGTTTGTTTTGGAACTTCTCAGAGCCTTTACTGTGCTGTGCTGATGTGTATCAAGAATCTGCTAAAGGGACCAGACTGTGCATTTCTCTCTCATGTCCTTGACATTAGAGCGTTTCTAGACCAGTGTTCTTCCAGCCATACTTGTTGAAGCCTTAATGAAGAGCAGCATCTCTCAGACTTGACCATGTACCTGGTGATCACCTGGAGGGCTGCTTTCAGTGCAGTTTATTGGACTCCCCTCCCAGAGTTTCAGCATTTCTGACAAGTTCCCAGGTGATGCTGATGGTCCAGGAACCTGAGAACCACTGGTCTAGGCTTTACCCCTTCATTCCTCAGAGAAGAAAACAGTCAAACATCGGATGTTTACTTTCAATAGTGACCATTAATTGAGCCAGTCACCTGCTAAGCACTTCTCATGACTGTTTCCAAGCGCAAGTATGATAGTGGGATTCAGCCCCTAGAAAGGCGATAGTGCCGTGCGCATCATTGCTGTCAGGTTAGAGTTCACCCTGTGCCACTCACTCACCGCCATAGAAGGGCTGGCATTTCAGGCAGCGTGTCCACCCGAGACTAGTCAAGGTCTTCCTGTCCTTGGCATCAGTACTGGGAACATAAATTCTGTCTGTATTTAATCCTCTGGCCCTTCATTTTCTCATCTATAAATGGAAGAGGATGGAAATTATTTTTATGGGTGGTTACCACTTTCTCTAGCATTCCATTTGATTTTTACTCTTGAGTTACTTCTTTTTCTGGGTATCTGGTGCTCTCCTGTTGTCCAGTCTGTCACCATGCTAAGTGTTGGAGACTTAAGAGTGTTGGCTTGCAGGGGTGCACTGCATTTTAAAAGAGCATTCCTGAAGAAGAGCGATGGCAGAATCCCAAACAGTGTGGCCCTAGGTAGTGAATTGTAATAGTAATAACTATTGTTCAGTTCTGTTGGAGAAGATTCCCAGGGTTGTCCATGTTGCCTTAGATGTCACAGGCTGTGTGAAGTGCTTAGCGCGGTCTCTGGCACAGAACTAAGTATCAGGGTCAGTTTGGTTAAGTATATTGTGTTAAATTTTCTTACAGGGTCTTGAGAAGCCCCTGGAATTGTGTGCAAGACTGAGTGTGCACGTTTGAGAGAGAGAAGTAGGGGGGAAGGGAGAAAAGAGGGGTGTGTGTGTGTACACTTTCTGCACATGGCTTGAGGAGATGTCAGGGGCCACTGCCTTGCATGGAAGGCCAGCCCTTGTTACATGATTCTAATGAGGAGTCCTCGACTCCTGCTGAACTGTGTGAGAGGACCCTGACCCAGGCAGTCTAGAGGGAACTGTAGGTTTCCTCCCCTGCCGCCCGTTAAAAATTGTAAAGCAACCCTTAGGGGACGGGCAGGAGTAACACGGGGCCAAAAGCCACAGCAGAACAAGCAGCCCAAATGGGGCTAAGAGGGAACCCTCTCCTCGTTACCCCCACACAGTGATTAGCGCAGAGCAGCTTGTTCCCCGGGCCAGCTCCGGAACTCTGCTGTGCACCATGATCCCTGCTGCTCTGCCTGGCTGCAGTGTGGGAACCTGAAGGACCCGCTCAGACTTGGCCTGGGGGGCACTGCCCTCTGCTGGAAGGTGGGCGCAGCGGAGCCTCTCAGGGCTGGAAGAGGAGGCGGCCGTGGGTGTCTGTGGATGCGGTGAGAAGAGCCCCCACTTGGCAAGCACATAGTGTCCTAGCCTGAGACACAAGAGCGATGAATTCAGGGGTCTGTGTGTCTGCCACCTGCCACCCACCACCACATCCACTCTGAGGAGCAGCCACCTATTGCATTGCTGGCGTCCTCACTCCTCAGCTGAGCACAGTCCCTGGACCCCACAGCTCGGAACCCGCCTTCGTGTCACCCTGGAGTGCACCTCGACCAGGCTGACAAGAGCCTGAGGACGGGCTGCACGCTCGTCCCCCACACTGCAGGCACCTGTGCGAGTGAGAATGTGGGGGCTGTGTGCAAGAGCTGGTCGGAGAGGCTGGGACAGGGCTTCCTTCTCGCAGTCACCTGCACAGAAAGCAGAACCATGCCATCCACTGTTGCAGCTCTCCCCCTGGGCAGCCCTCCCCTTTCTGTGACTCCTATGAAGCACCGTCACGTCTTGGCCTCGTCAGGGCCCGGCGCCCCAACCCACACCCAGGCCACACCAGTCGCACCACTGCGCTCCACACTGACCCAGTGCACACGGACCCATCCCCTCTACTGTGTTTAGGTGTCCAGCCCACCACCTGCCATGGGGGCTCTGTGTCCCTGCCCTGTCCTTTCCCACCTGTCTCAGGAAGGCAGCTCCAACTCTGCTCTTTGCTTAGTGAGCCAGTGGATTCAGATGCACCAGGCCGTGAGCCGTGGGTAGGTATGAGTTCGTTCTTCTCCCCACTTCTGCCCTCCCTCCTCTCCTGGACGCTTCTGTCCCACTTCCTGCCTGCTCCTACCTCACCCCCATCCTGCCCTCTATTGCCCTCTTTCTTTTGTTCTGCACTGACTTCCCAGAGGAGTGTATTTTCCAGCCTCCGTGCTCTACCTGGTCATCTGGTCTCTGGTCGTATCTGGCATGGTCACCAGAGGAGACCCGACACACAGGAAGCCTAAGGGGAGTGGTATTGTAGGCAGAAGCTCCAGTGTGTCCTAAGCCCACATTTGCTCACTCAGTGAGGCTGTTGAGGAAAGAACTGCTCATGAGGAAGCCCGTGGGGAGGTGCTTGGACCATGGGCAAGGTCGGGGTGCTGTGTCAGATTTCTTTAGGACCCAATTTGCAGACATCTGTGCTTTTAGATTCAGGTTAGGGGATCTCATGGGGCCTAATCCTGGATTCTGACCCCGCTGGGCCCTGTGATCATGGTCATTCAGAATACCCAGACCTAGTTGGCATCCCCACCTGTAAAACAAGGAGATGGAGCAGGAAGTTTCCGTCAGTCCCTTCCGAGCCCTGTGTCCTGCAGGGCTGCCTCCCAAACCCCCTGCATCTCCATTTCAACTAGAATGGCTCTTGCTTTGTCATTACCCTTTGGACATCTGAGTAAGTCCTCCTCTGCCGCCCTGCAGGAGGGCATCACCTTACATGGCCCCATAGGCCTTACCTTCTCCACTCCCAGCAGTGCGTCTGAGCTGCTTACAGTGGTCATGGGGAGACCATGCCGCTTCCATGTGAAGAGAAGAGCAGTGGGAGGCGGGCATCTCTTGCCTCTGTCCAAAACTGACATGGCCATTGAGGAATGCTGTTAAAGACAAAGTGCACTTGCCCTTTTGGGTTTTTTTCCTTCTGTTTTCGTGTTTTCCTTGGCATAGGACCTGGAATATATTGCCAGGTGGACAGCGTTGCTCAGTCCACCTGTGTTTGGGGCGAGCCTTCCACTTTGGAAAGCTAATGGAAGAGACAGGGCTGTTGGTCCTACCTGGGAAGCTCCTTGCTAAAAGCTGGAGGCCTATCTCCTCAGCAGAGTGAGCAGAGGGCCTGGGGTATAGACACCCGCAGTGCCAAGAAGCCAGAACGCTTTTTCTAGAACAACAAGAACAGAATCGCAGTGAAGTCCTAGCCAGGCCACTGGCATGGGTGGGCTCCTGAACTGCTCCTTCCTTATCACAGCAGATAAGTTTCTACACTCTGCTTAGAAGGCCTTTAGACAGCCTTTCACCAGCCTAGTCCTGGGAAAAGGAAATCGCTGGGCCGGATCTTAGCCTCAAAATAGCTGCTAACCTTTAAGAGGATGAGAGCAGAGGAGTTGGTGGACCCTCAGGTGCGTCTCGAGGTGGGTGCTTTCCTCAGAGAGCTTGCCCGTGTGTTCATAAGGGGGTGTGGAACATGTCTCAAGACACTGCTCTGATGCTCTTCAGCCCCGTGAGGAAGAGGTCCTCACAGGCTAGTGTGAGTGGGAACAGTGGGGAAGTGGTAGGCAAGTGGGACCCTCCATGAGAACGGGGACGTGTCGGGGAGCCCTGGTTCACAGCCTTTTCCCCACATGTCTTTTCAGATGCGCTGGCTCCCTCCCTCCGAGGCTACTTCTCAGGGCTGGAAGTCCCGTCAGTTCTGCTGAATACTATGTAAGTACTCGGTTTCCTATGAATATGCAAAGCCCCTACTATACTTGTGTACACGGTGGCTGCGCCATGAACACAGCTCTCAGCCTTTCTCTGCACCCACACCTCAGGCACCTCCTTTGGTTGTCCAACCTTGTTAAACTCATTTGAAGAACTACATGGCACTGCATCTTTCTGAGAGGAAGTTTTCACCTAGGCATGGGTGCTACTCTGTTTGAGTCTAACTTACAAGACCAGTACCTGGCCTCCCACTGTAAGCAGTGAGTGCTAGTTTCTGTAGAACAGCTGTCAGAAAATTTTATTACATAATGGTAGTTCACCTGCTGCCCGCATTAAACCAAAACCTTAAGTTACAGGACTAGCGATCCACTAATTTACACAGTAGTTTATCATGGGAGTCTTACTATGGGAGATTTCTGAGAATGAGTTTCCCTGCATACATCATATCCAAAGTTCTAATCGTTATAAAAGACCTCATTTTCTACTGAAGGCAGAGTGCACAGCTCCAGCAGGCTTTCCTTTAAGGTTTTCATCATGAAGGAAGCAATATTGTAAATTGGCATTTTAGGCCTAACTTTGCTTCAGAGAACTACCAAATGAAGTTTTTCCTATAAACATAGAATTTCTATAAAATACCAAATGCCTTCTGTAATTCAGAAATACTGAATTTTTGTTAAGTACAAGGTACTGTTCTTCTAAATTCTAATTTGGTATGTAAATTTGGAGAGTCTACTTAAAGTTTTTAGACTCTTCCACCATCAGCCTTCTCTTGGTTTACATGGTTCCTTCTCAAAATCAGAAGAAAATTGAAAAGAGGGAGGGGCCTGATCCTCATCCTGTTAGAAATGCTAAAGAGATCATGGCAAACCTATGCACCCAATTCCACCATAGTGTCATGGGCCTTTCCTTGGGATTTGTTAAGATAAAAATACTTCCAAACAAAATTAATGTTCCTTTTCTTTTTCACCATTAATACTGAGTCCATCTGCTTTTGTTAGATGATTTGAGGCCATTTAGACAGGCCATTTAGAGAGGCACTCTGTAGAAAGAATAGGCCCCTGGTCGACTTAGATTCCACTTACATGGAGAAATGTTTCAGACCTCTCACAAGAAAACAATTGAAGAAATGGTAGACACTAGAGCTGGCCTCATGCAGGTCAGTGCCCTGTCAGTAAGGAAGAAAGAGCGCATTGAATATGATTTTTAAACAGTGCTAGGGTTTATTGAACACAGGTAAGTTGCCCTGTTGACCTGAAGTCTCGGGTGCGTCAGGTCACTTTGAAGATCTGGGAGGACTTATGCGTGTGGACTTCATTTGTGAAGTTCTCATCACGTAGGAGGCCGGCCCTTTTTTGATGATCTCCGGTCCGAGGTCAGAAGACACCCCCTTCTGTGTTCGCAATGGACAGGCCTCACCAGACAGGAGACTAATGAGCATGAGCGTGTCAGAAGCCCACAGACTCGTCTCTGAGCAGCCAGTCATAGCCCAGCCACATTCACGGCTCTTCCTCTGACAGTAGGGATAGGAAAGTTGAGAGAATGTTCTGCGCTTTAGAATATCAGCATCAGTAAGCTAAAATTGTATCTATTCTTCCTCTAACCCAAAATATTTCATGTTTTAACCCAATTATTTCATATTTGAGTGTGGCCAAATAATAATAGTCCTCTGGGGTGATCACAGGTGACATACGCAAATCCTTCCAGGGTCAGACAGTGAAACAAATTTCTTTACCCAAAGATTCTCAAAGCCTTTATTACCATATGAACATCATGAATATTTAAGAGGAGGGGGTATTTCTCAAGCTTATTTGAGACAAAGTCATCCTTTTTTCCCAGACTCTTAAGTGACTAATGCTTCATGCTTGGGGAAACCATATCCTAACCTCTTAGCCAGAAACGAAACCAGAGGCTCCCATATATAGAGATCCTTGGATGAGTGTTCATCTGTGGTGCTGCTCATTAATCAGTGTTGATATCTAAAAACCCAGACAATGTAGCTTCTTGTAGCTGCTTTTGTTTGTCCTTCATTCTGAATTACATGTCTCACGTGCGCGCACATGTGTGTCTAAGTACCCTTTTTAAATGTAGTGTTAGGAAATGGCAATTGTATTTTAAATGTCTTTTCGTAGATAACAATTCATAATACAGAAAAGTGTTCTTTTAAAATACTTAACTATTTTGTGAATTCTAAAATTTGCTTTTTAAGAGAGTTTTTTTTGTTTGTTTTGCTCCAGGGAATACCATTGTTAAGCTACAGAAAACTATATTTGAGATATAGTCTAGGGTCTATTAAGTTCAGAATTTCGTTAAGTCATGTTCCGTCTTCATGTGCCTTTTAAGCACAGATCCCAAAGCCATACTCATGTGGTTGCATAGGAACCTCTGTCCGTTACCACGGTGCTGCCGGCCCAGCACTGCCTTACAACTCCAGACGGCACTGTTCACATGGACTCTGCTGTGGGCATCTCCCTCTTCCATGACAGTGTGTTTAACTTTCCACTCTCACAGGCTGGTAGGGTGTTCAGCTGGAGGTGTCTAGGATGAGGAAACTGGAAATTCCAAAACCCACGAGAGAGGGCATGGCTTGAAACGTTGACCTGGCCCTCAGTGTAAACTGACAGTTGAGGAAGTTCATGAAACTGGAAGAGAAGTCACACACTGAGCACATCTGAGACCCAAGAGTCAGCAGAGAAAGAACAGCCTCCAGATAGTGGAGAGGAAGCTCAAGGAGCAGGGATGTCAGGCCACTTCTGTCAGAGCCAGATGCTCTAGGAAAGTCAGTCGCAGTGAGAGATGACCTTCAACTTGGCAGTTTCATTTTGTAGAGAACCTGGCAAAGGATGTTGGCCTAGGACCTAAGGAAGGCTTTTTTATCCCCCTTAAGAATTTATGTAGGCTCCAGAGAAGACATCCATGGTGAAGCAGTTGCATGGGTTTCAGTAACAGAGATCCTGAGTTTTGATCTGCTCACCTAATTTTTCTCCAAATCATTTCTCACAGACCCTTCAGCGGGAGCTCTGAAGGCAGCAATGGCTACCAAGAAGGATCAGCAATTGCTGTCCTTTGGAAGTATGGCTTATAAAAACCCTTTAAGATCTAAATAAGAATATGTAATGGGCCAGGCCCAGTGGCTCATGCCTGTAATCCCAGCACTTTGGGAAGCTGAGACAGGTGGATCACTTGAGGCCAGAAGTTCGAGACCAGCCCAGCCAACATGGTGAACCACCATTGCTACTAAAAATAACAAAAATTAGCTGGGCATGGTGGCAGGTGCCTATAATCTCCACTTACTAGGGAGGCTGAGGCATGAGAGTCGCTTTAATCTGGGAGGCGGAGGCTGCAGTGAGCCAAGATCGTTCCACTAAACCCTGGTCTAGGCAACAGAGCAATACTGTGTCTCCAGAAAAAAAAAAAAAAAAAAAAAAAGAACATGTAATGTCTCCTGTGGATGAATCATTTATGGTGAGCTAAGCTTGGGCCATGGGCCAGACTCCAGCCTCGGAGCCTGTGGGGATCAGGTAAGGAAGGGGTATGGATAATGGCGCCCATTATTGCTGCACGTGGGACGCCTAGTCTCCCAGCCCATCTAAAGTTAGACCAGCTCAGTGCAGCCCTGTTACTTCTGCTCCTTCTAGTCTCTTGAATCAAGTCCTTTCCAAGACAGCCTATAATCCAAGCTGTGTAATCTTAGGCAAATGCAAATTAGAATTGGAAACAGTGGTGCTGATGAGCTAACACAAACATTTTAAACCAGAACAACTCTATCAAAAAGGCCAAATGAAAACCACGTACCACTCATCGGCAGAGGCTCACATGGCTCTCTCCATTCAGTAGAGAGGGCTTTCTTCCCCAACTCGCTTTCCCGGCATGGAAAGAACAGATCGGAAGATGAGCAGGAGTGACGCTGTCCTTCCAAATCGTGAATGAGGTCCTCCAAGGCATTTTCATTTATCTTCTCGGACTTCTTAGTGCTAAAGAGAAATCAGTGACTAGACTAGAAATATAAATAAGTACTTTATTCTCTAGACAAACATTTGTTGTATCTGCTGTGTGCAAGATATATGAACATGAAAAACAGGCCTGTGTCCCTCAGGTGCTTAAGTTCTAATGGCAGAGAACTGTGGACATACAGACGGGAGTTACTGCGCACGAGCCTGCAGGATCAGCCTGCTGTGAGAGCCACAGCTGAGGGCATGTACAGGGCGTGTGCACGCTAGGCGTAGTCACAGGAACAGGGCATTCCTGGCGTTTTAATTTGCTCAGCCTCTTGCTGACGGATGGTGTTGAGTCTGGCCACAGGCTGTGTCTGCATCACTAGAGTTTTGCTGATGGTCCAGCCATGTGCCAGAGCGCCCAGAATATAGAATCACGATTGAAAATTGTCAGTTTCCCAGATACACTGAGAACAGGAGAACGTGAGCAACGTTGCTGTCAGTCCTTGCATGCAGTGAGAGTTAGGCCGCTTTCCTTGATGGATGTTAATGAAGAGTTAACTGTTTGTGAAAGGGAAGAACCAGTATTTGGAAGCCAGGTGGAGTGTAGGGGGAGGTCTTCTTCTTTCAGGACTCTTGAAATTTTCCTGGCCATGGACAGGGACCAGAGCCCAGAAATTAGAAGCACATATTGCTACAGTCCCCCCCAAAAAAATAGGAGAAGGAAATGGCAAGAGAAAACACTGCAGAATTTGGAGTAGTTTGTCCCTTCTCTTCTGTTTTGGGTGGAACGGCCTCACCTGTCTTTGGCTAGAGCTTGGAGTCATCCTCAGGGGAGCCCTAGGTGCTGGTGCCCAGGCAGAGCTTAGAGCTTAACAAGGAGGAACGGCCCAGACTGCCGCGGTGGCTCCTGCTGTCACCCTGACCTTATAAGAGAGCCACGTGTCTGTGTCACACTACCACACTGCGATGCACCCAGCAACCAGTATGAGGCTGTGAGGTCTGCACATCGCACCTAAGGCTACACAAATGCCATAACTGTCCATCATATCTAAGGCTAATACAGTATGCAGCCACAGCATCTCCGGGAGGAGATGGGTAATATGTAATCAAATAAACATAATAGTTTAGGTGGCGATAGTGTTGAGGGAATAAATATAAGGCCAGGTAGGCAGCTCAGCGCTGTGGTGGGGCAGCGCTTCTGGGGCCTTCTGCTTTCAAGGTAGCAGAGCAGTCAGGGTCCACCTGAGAAGGTAACACTCAGCAAAGACCTAGAAGGAACCAGCTTCATTTGGGGTTTCTTTTTCAGAACACACTCCACTGTGGTGAGGGTTAGAAAATATTTAACTCTGTAATCTTAATTAAATGGACAGGAAGTGCAGCAGGCTTGGCTCTCATGCGGCGCTAAGGAATTGCTGGGAGAGCACACAGGACCCTCCTCAGAGACCTTTCTCCATTTTCCCAGTGAGGAGACGCGAGCCTGGTTCTGCAATTCCTTCCAGTTCTGGGGTCTGTTACGGTTCCCGTCTGAGCTGTAAAGGTAGGGGTGGGCCTGAAGACCCTCCACCCTGCCAGTCTTGTGGACATGGTGGGTGCCACCTCCAGCCACCACTGTGTCCGCCACATCACAAGCACTTACCAAGCTCCTCTGCAAACCACATGACGACCAAGTGCAGTGAAGGCTGCAGCCCACCCCCCACCTGCTCCTGTCCATTGTCTGTTTTCTGTGGGTCTGGCTGGAGTCCTTGGAGACTCCTGAGCATGTACACTGACAGAGCTGCCTGACTGCTCCCTGGAAGAAGTTCAGAGAGGGACTCACGTGTTCAGACCAGGCCATGGGGTCCCGCGACTCCTGAGAGCAATTCCTGGCCGGACTCTGACTCATGTCACTGCCCCCAGGTAACCCGCAGGTGCAGACAACTGTTGTTGAGGTCTCAGGAGCAGCTTAGTGATAAAACCCTGTGCTCCTGGGGACATAGATGAGAGGGAGGGTCCCAGGATCCCAGTATTCATATCAGTGCTGAGTCACACTGGTTAGCTTAAACCCAGAGGTTTCTTATCCTAAAAATGCAGCCTCCCAGAAAGTGCAGCTGGCTCTGCAGCCCTGGGTGGCTTGCGTTCTCCCTCCTGTGTGGAGGGGGCATGGAGAGGCTGGGTGAGCTGATAGGTTTTGTGTGCAGAGATGATTTTTCTGTTTTCAAATAACCCAACTTTTGCTTAAAAAAAAAAAAAAAAAAAAACTAGAATGACATCTAATGTTGTATAATGAAATTCTGGGGAAAATATTTTCTTCCTTAAATTTGAGAAGACAGATGTCCTAGGAAGGTAGTCCTTCCTTAAAGCTCACCCTTGATTCTGGAGTTGGGTTTCAGCACAGCAGTCCCGCTCCCTGTGGAGTCCTGGTGGGGCCACTCAAGGGTGCCAGCTGAGCCGGTGCCATCCTTCTAGGGAACTTGGACAGTCCATAGCAGTACGTTATGCACTCCAGTTCTCAAAGCCTTGCATAATGGACATGGCCTGTTTGCAGGAAGGGAGATCTGAGAAACGCTAGTAGGAAGTAGGACTGCTGGTGTCCACATGCACGGAATTGGGCTTCCTTCCCTGGCACTGGAATCTTTGCTGAAACTGGCTGCGTTGGGGGCAGCCATGCCTGCAGGAGGAATATTAGGAACAAATTCTTTGCTGGGTCTTTGTATCTTCATATTTCAAAATTCTCAGACCCTAGGGAGTAGCCAGATACGTTCACAAGTGGGCATCCTTTTGGTTTTTGTTTTCCAGGAAGTGCTTGGAGGAAAGTTTAGTCCTTAGTGCCTGTGACAGAAAGGGTTTTCCTATGGCCTTGGGCTGACCAAAGCTGCTGCTTCGAAGCAACTCCTGGAGGCGGTTGTTTCTGGATCTTGCTCTGGGTGGGGCTTTTGGATGGTCCTCGGGGTCTAGGCCACAGCCTTTGGAATGTGGTAGAGTCGTCCTTGCTGGGCCCACAGCCTCCTAGCGCCCTCATGAAGAGTTCACATGCTTTTATTCGAATGCCCATTCTCCCTGGCCCCCAGGAGCCTCCTCTGACTTGCTCCACCAAGTCCTCAGTGAGTTTTCCTGGCTGAGAGCTTTTCGTGCGGCGTATGTAAGGCCATTCTGCAGTGGTATCTCATCCTCCATTCAGCAGCAGAGGCCTTTGGTCTCTCCCGTCATTGCCTGTTTTGGCTCTCTGCCCTTAGAACAGGCCAGTCTTCAAGACCCAGGCAGCCCCACAGGAGGTCACTGTGCACTATTAATGGGTGATCTCTCTGCATCCCAGGTCCCAGGTGTGTGATGGCGGCTGCAATCTGTCTTGTGGGTATTAATGCAATCTTCAGTGGTGGCTACTGTTCTCTAGCTGTTCTGCAAAACTGGAGCGTGCTGGTAAGTAACAGTCAGGGTTGAATAAGTGCTCAGGCAGCATGGCCTGGGCAGGGCACTGTGTTGTTGGCTAGTGTGGTCACGTGGGAACTGCAGGCCTCTGGGGGTGGGGCCAGATTCCAGGTGCTGGTGCCCTCCCTCCCTCCGGAGTTCTTGAACATCTGCTCCAGCACGGCCTGCCTAGGGAAGGTCATCCCAGGACAGCAACTGATAGGTTTTTAAAATGTATCACCCTAGTATTTGGTGCTCACATGCCCTCCTTAGGTAAGGCTGGCGCCATGAACTTCTGGCTCCAGCAGCACCTAGGAGGGAGGGACTCCACCTAAGGAAATGTTAAAGAAATGAAGCTTTTTCCTTGAAGCATCTTAGCCTTTTTTTTTTTTTTTGGGGGGGGGGGTATGGCGGAATTAATCATTTTGTTGGAATGTGTATATTCCCCCGTCTTATTAATCCAGTTATACTGAGTATAATCAGCCATTTCTTGATGACTTGGGGACCTAGTATAATTACCCTTGGGCATGACTGAATCATAGGATTCTCAGTGCATTTCTCCAGACTGTGGGCCATTCAGGTAATGGTTTTAGTGATCTTTCTTTTCAGTCAGTATCACCTGTCTCTCCTCAGTTTCTTTAGCTTCTAGCAGGAAGTGAAGTCTAAAAAAAAAAATCCTCACGTAGCATCCCCAGAGGTGACCTTCCTGCCAGGTACCACATGTTAGGGGCTGCTGGGTCTCTAGAAAGCCTGGCTTAGAACGGCAAGAACACCAGGGGTGAGCTGACGGCAGTTTATGTCTCAGCCTAAATAAAGCAGCAGGGTTTAAAAAAATTGAGTCCGAGAGGAACAAGATTCCTGCTGCGGACAGAGAACCAAGCAGTTCTGGACAAGGAGGTGGGATGGCATTTGAGGGGCTTAAGTCACTCCATGCTCCGACGGTCGTCAGTGCCGTCCTAGGAGTGTGCATTAGGTGTGTGTCATGGAGCAGCCCCTCCCACCACCCCAGGCAGCCTTCCCACAGGACCCTGAACTTTGGGCATTTTTCCCTTGGTGCCTGTTTCTCGGGGCAGCCAGGTCTATCCCACCAGGCCCACAGCCTTCTACTGTGTGAGCTTTTCCTTCTGTCACAGCTCTTTGTGGTCATCACTCAAACTTTTTTAAAAGACATGATTTTGTTCTTCCTCCTGGGGCTATTTCAAAACGAATTAAGCTGCTTAGACATTTTTTTCCCACTTATGCAATTTTTGAATGCTAGTTAGACATCATGATTTTTAAATGCAGCAAGTTAACCAAAGCGTCAACACTGCATGGAGAGGGGAGCTTTCCTGGCAGGCGACAGAAGGGCCTAGTGACGGGGGACAGAAAAGAGGAGGGCAGGTCTGGGTGGTTGTCCTGGGGTCAGCTGAGGAGGGTCAGGTTGCAGATGCCCCAGATGGACCTGAGAAAGCAGCAGCCAGCGCATAGGGGGAGACATGGCGTTCTCAGCACCAGCTATGTTAAGATGGGGCTCACTATTTCTTGGGGACGTCCCTAGGTTTCAGCGGTGAGTTTGGAGGGGGCTTTTCTCTTCCCCAATCTGAGATCAGACACTGCTTATGTGACCTACCCTTGGAGGACAGAGATGGGCCACTTTTCATCAGTCCCCGGGGCTGGAGTGGAGTTACAAACTGCAGAAGACTATGCCCCTAATGTCTCTGTTACAAATTAATATCAGTACCTGATTTTTTGAAGATGAATGACATAGTTGGCCGCTTCCAGGAAGGTCCCGCAAGGAGAACCTGCTCCTAATCAGAGCCTCATGTGTTCCCAGCCCCAACCCTGCCATCCCTCGGTGGGGCTGTGTTCCCGGATGTCTTTGGATTCTGTTTAAAATGTCGTTGTTAAGACATTCCAAGGTTTGAACTCCGCTCCTAGCTAAACCTCTTCCTTGTTTACAGGGACTGAAATAGCCACATTTTGACCTTCTGTTCAGTCTGGGATCATCTGTGGTAGTGTGACTACATTCCTTTCCCATGCAAGGATTCCATTTACACAGCAGTTATGGAAGGCCCAGAAAACTAGCCTTCCTCCCACCCATGTTCCTTCTCCTTTCAGATCAGCCCTCCTAGGCGGCCATTCCTCCTGCTCAGGGGCTGAGGCATGGGGAAGGCACATGTGTTATTGCCCAGGAAAGCTGGAGGTGCTACATCCCCCTCATTGGGGCCGCAGCTGCCCATGGAGGGCTCGGGATGCCCTTGGGCTGGTGTGCAGAACCCAAAGTGGGTCCCCGTCCTTAGTCTCCTGCTCTCAGGCCAGACATCATCCACACTGGGGCCCGTGTCTCGGTGACAACGTGCCACAAATGACCCGTCACTCCTGTTTAGTGTGCCCTCCAGTCTTAAGTGTGTGAATGGAAGGTTTGCATTGGGCCCCTGCAAGTAACTGGTGTCTGGGGTTTAAGGAGGAAGAGATGGTCTCAGAGAGGCAAATAACAATGCAGGATTATGCCTGTGGAAGTCAAAGTAGCCCGGTCAGTGAGAACCCCTGCTGGGAGCTCAGAGGAGGAAGCCCTCAGGCCAGGAGAGATCGGGAGCAGCCAAGCTTTTCAAGGCCCTGAAGATGTGTTAGGCATCTGGGAAGACGAGCAGGAGTGGAGAGTGATTTAGGAACGTTGTCTTGCTACCCGAAGCAAAGTGGACAAAGATTCGAGGTAGAAGCGCAGAGGTGGCCCTAAGATGGTGACAGCAGAGTGGAAGGAACAAATGAGCCAAGAGGACAGGGCTGAGTGGGGGGGGCAGCGGTGTAAGGGACAGACTGACAGGCCAGGGGTGCGTCTGGATTTGGCTGCCTTGAGGGCTCTGTATAGTAAGCATCCTTAAATGGATGTACTAGGACTAATGTCATTATTTGCCACAACCTGAAGGGACAGGCAAGTATTAGTCCCCTTTCACAGAAAAGGTCTGGGGGTGGTGGAAGCTCTGCCGGTCTGAAGACCTGCGGGCCGTTACTACTGCTACCCACTCGTACTCTTGTCCAAAAACCGGAAGTGAAAAAGGTCTACTGGGTCACAGGTCAGATCCAACTTGGACAGATTGGTTTTGTATAGGAACATTTACAAGCTCATCCCATACGCTGTGTTTCAGTGGTCACCTAAATATTCTCAACTGCTCAACACATTTTCCCAAATCTAACTTGGGACATTTAGATAGGTTATCAGTAATGATTTGTTTTTCTTTATAGCCTCTTTCTGCATACAAATAAGCATCTCCCTATAGAAAATTCTAGTGTATGCTGAGCTGATTGCCTTCTGTATACACATTTTCTACAACTTCTCAAATGTGTGTGAGATGGCAAGAAAAGGAAAATGAGTGACAGAATAATACAGAAGGGCTGAGTTTTTAAAGAAAACCTGTGGGCCAGGACGGGGCTCTCTGGGAGTCAAGGCCTTGACCCATGTGTCTAATCAAGGCAAGACCACTGACACGCGTACATGTGTGTGTCTTTTCTACCTCGTCCGCACCCTGTCATCTAAACCATCACAACTAGGGAGGGTTGATGCCTGCTATCCTCATGTTTTCTTTCTGTTTCAGGCTTGAAAAAACCTTGCCCAGTTTTGATCCCTTCAAGACTTTGCTACAGCCTCTATCACACATCTGTTTTTCTCAAAACATATAATAAAAATGTTTTACTCTTTTACACTGTATAATTGTAAGAAATAGTGTGTTATTTGTGAATGCATGGTCTGACATTTCTGTACAGTTTGGAGGTATTTTCAAACAAAACGTAAGAGAAGTCAACAATAAAAGCAAGAAAAGTGAGTATTTTTATACCAAACAAACATTTTAAGTATGCTGGGATGGACGATCTTGCACAGGGTTGGATCACTGTTTTGTGCTCGACTTTTGAATGCTTGTAATTTAAAATATCTATTTTTTTCCTCTAAAGTAAGCTGCATGTTTGAGGCATGTTTCCAAATATTAACCAGAATTTCCTGTATTGTGACTATATAGAAATCTGTGCCTACCCAGAGTCTAGGGTATATTAGCGTGGTGTAGCTGTTAGAACTGTTACCTGCAGTATTAGGTCTAGAATCCCAGTTCCATTAAGACAACCCTGCAAGACAATCAACCGGAAGCCCCCAGGAGCTTCTACCAATGGCTTATTCATAACTGGGCAAAGAAAACATTGGTAAGAACAGGTCAGTGTGCCCCAGCAGCTCCAGCTGCGACTATAAACTGTGTGCCGAGTGTTGCATTTTTGCAGTCTTATGTTTCCTTTGTAACTGCATGCTCCCGTGTGTAACTCACCTTCCACAAGCCAGCCCGGCAGCCCCGCTCCCCCAGTGGAAGTGCAGGGCTCGCCTCATGGGTAAGGGACAACCTTGGCTTGGGAGGCCAGCCCCGGCCCACGAGGGGCTGGCTGTGCCCAACCCACTTGGCTGCAGCGGGCAGCTCATGTCTCTGTCTCCAAAGTGATTTCTGCAAAACATCGGTGAATTGAGCTGGTGTTCCCAACTCTTGGTGGCGCGGGGCCAAATGGACCACATACCATGAGCTCCCGAATGTCGTGTGCTATGAGGATGACCTGCCACACTGCACAGAGACGGAAGCATTGGGCACTGGAACCAGTTCTACTCAGACTTCATCAAAGTCAGTCTTGTGTTGTCAGTTGACACATCTCCAGAGTATGACAGCTCAACCGCTCCCCCTCATACAAGAGGCATCTGTAAAACCACAGTGACCTAAATTCAGCTGCCAAACACAATCACAGGCTTTCCTATTGATCTGCTCAGCTTCTGTGGAAAATTTCAATGTGATGATTACCTGGTTGGTTTGTGTTCTCCTGTTTTCCATTAGAAATAAAGATGTCAAGAAGCTTTTAAAGGTCACCACAAAAAACGACCAAGACTCTACGAGTGAGGGGCCCGCTCTTACCATAAATAAGGGGAAAGGGCAGTTAGCACGGGGACTTGTGACGGAGCCACTTTGGTGTTCAAGGACCTGCTTATGCCCTCAGTGCCACATGGCTCTTGGTGAGATGCCTGTACTCCTCTCTAAGGAAAACAGCCACTTCGACACAGTCTATTATGCTTTTATAACTGTTTAAAGGTACTTTTCTATGGTCGTTTTTAAAAAATAAAGTGCTTATTCCAGCTGTCATATCATTGCTTGACAAATTCTTTTTCAGCAAGACCAACTACATGTATCCCACACTGCAGACAAGAGGCCAGCAGATTTTGTTGCCATTTTCAGGCTTTGGCAGAGCTAAGCATTGGCCATTGAGCTTAGGCACAAAGAGATTAAAGAAGGAAGCAGACACTGGGGAGAGCCAGAGAATCAGCCTGCAAAGGCACGACCGCAGCAGCTGGTGACTGACCAATGACACCAGAGGCAGACGGACCTCAAGGGAGTTTGACTCAGCTTGACTTAAACATATGTTATACCAGACATGGTGGCTCACAACTGTAATTCCAACACTGGAAAGCTGAGGCAGGAGGCTTGCTTGATCCCAGGAGTTTGAGACCAGCCTGGGCAACACAGCGAGACCCTGTTTCTACAGACAATTTTAACATTGTCAGGTGTTCTAACACGCACCCATGGCCCCAGCTACTCAGGAGACCAAGGAGGAAGGAGGGCTTCAGCCCAAGAGGTCGAGGCTGCAGTGAGCCATGGTTCCACCACTGCACTCAAGCCTCGGCCACAGGGCAAGACCCTGTCTCCAAAACCATAAAAAGTAAGTGGAAAACCAGGCACCAATTGCCAAGACAATCGTGTTTTATACACACTCTCACCCACTCTTTTTTTCCCCAAAAAAGAGAAGGCAAAAAGTAGTGCTTATATCCAAGCAGTGCCAACAGCCAACACTGAGTCTTGCTGGACAATGCAATGATTTGTAGTTAGGCTCACAGCCTGCCTGGAGAGGAGCCACCAAACGCAGGTGGTGTCCACTGCCTTCCAGCTCATGTAACTAGGAGGCTAACAGCTTTCCTTGGCCCAGGCTCAGAAGGCCACACCAGCATGGCTCTTAGGCCGACCTGATCTGCCTTTGGTCCACCTGTGAGCTCCAACTCATAGGCACCAGAGACTGGCCAAACAGCTAAGGAATGGAGGGTCATGAGCCCTTAAGGGGCTTTGCTGGGACTGTCCCAGCTTAGTCACTGGCTGAACAGTCACCTATGATTTTTTACAGGGGGCCTTCAACAAGTTGAGTGCCCCGATCATCCCCATGCTGACGATGGTCATTCATGATGTGCATGTGACAAGTCTGGATGGTATTTACTAAGCTAGTGTGACCTCCAGATACATTCCGAGTCACCAGCCAAATACCAGCCTCAGTAGGGTCTGTGCATCCTTTTTGTCACTCTACTGAGCAGGAATTAATGCAATATGTCTTTTGGAATCAAGAACTTGGGATAAGAAAAAGGCAGGCTGTTTGCTCTTGCACCCATGCAAGCAAAATGTCCCAATTTGTAGGCTCCAGAAAGATGGGAACTAAGCCCATCTTTCTGTGTGATTACCAAATGAACCAACCTTTCCTTTTTAATGCCAAACTAATATAACTATAAAACGCATCTGAAACTAAATCCCATGCTTTCCACTTCTGTAACAAAATTACAGATTAAAGGAATTTGAAAAGAACCTTACAATTCACAAAATGAACATTACATCACCAGTCAATCACACCTGGGCCCAGGGCGTGCACGTCGGTCTGCCCTACTTTCATAGACTAGCTTGTAGTTGTTACTGCCCTATTCCTGAATTCTGTGTTCCAATACACAAGAATTCTTAGTGTCTGTCAGGGTAACACTGAGAAATAAGTAATTCTTCTTAAGAGACAGGGTCTCACTATGTTGCCCAGACTGGAGTGCAGTGGCGGACTCATAGCTCACCACAGCCTCGAACTCCTGGGCTCAAGCCATCCTCCTGCGTCAGCCTCCTGAGTAACTGGGACTACAGGCACACACCACAGGTCCCAGCTTCAACTAGTTATTTCTGAGTGCTTTGGTGGGCAAGACATGATCTGTGCTAAGAATATGGACAGGTTCCCAAAAGTGCTGTTACCCAGCTGGAAGTTTCCGGCACACGGCTGCTCTCCTCACCAAGTCCTAAACCATTCTCTCCACACCCTCATGGCATAAACAGCCTGCGTTTCTACAGCCTACATAGAAAACCTACGAATATTCATTACCAGTGAGGTGTTATTCGAAACACTCAGCCTCAAAATGCCTCTCCTAAAACCCTAACAACTGGGATACTGAAAAACCATGTTGTCAGCAATTTGAAAACCCTAAATTAGGAAATTTCAGTAACTGCCTCTGTAAAGCTATCTGTCCCTGTTACAGAATATCCCGGATGGAACTAATATTCACTCTTGCGTGAACTGGCCTGGCTCTGTAGCTACCCCAGTCCTGAGAGCTGCTGGTGCGCTGTGAGAACTAGGCCTCTGCAGCTCTCCAGTGAACCCAGTTCCAACCACACTCATTCCTACTTAGGGGGCAGCAGGTTAGGAGATCTTCCTACAAACCATAATAATTTGCCAGTAACTATGAACAGAACAGTGAAGGCTTCCATTCTCCACTGCTCACATACGTCTCACCTATGGACGATCTGAGGGAAGAGAAAACTCTGGTCCTTGTGTTCCATTTGTCCAGTGGAGAAATTCACATGGAACTCTGCCTGGGGTCGTTAATACCAAGTTGAGAACTTGACCAAATGCTTAGTCAACCCAAGCTTCTGAGCAAAAAGGCAGGCCTAAATGCAATGAGAAATACACAAAATATTTACCTGGACAAAAAGAGCACTTTTTTCCTTAAAACTAGAACACAGCCCTTTGTACGGGGACTTGGCAGGCAGGCACTTCAAAACATCACAATCTCCACCAACGGGACAAACTTGCTCTTGGCGCTTCTAGAGCTGGTCCTGCCCAAATCAGGATATGGTTTACTAGGTTCTCCCCCGCTGACACCCTTCTGTGTTTTCTTACTTTAAACGTAAGTCTGTGCCTTCTCTCCCTTGACATGCAAGCCCCACAAAGTTCTGGCTGGATCAGAAGTCGCTGGGCTTTCCCCAGGGTCTGGGAACCACATGCTTAGTCACACAAATGTGCTGGTCTCACCCCGATCCACTGGAGCTGGATCAGTCCTGCAGCCCTGAGCCGTCCACAGGGGATTGGTCCCTGCCCATCTGCTGAAGAGTGGGGCCGACATTTATTTCTAATGGAAATCCTTCCAGGGAAGGAAAAGGCACTTTAGTTCCTTACACTGCAGCCAGAGGAAGGCCAACAGTAGCGCCAGTGTGCCGGCTTCAGGTCTGAGTTTCCAACGCTGCCTCCCTTAACACTCCAGACAGGCCAGGGAAGGGTATTCTAAGGCCTAGTTAGTCTGAAAAATGGTTTCCAAGAGGTCCTTGGACCATCCCACCACAAGTCCCACAGAACACCTGCTCATCTCAGGACAAGCCCCGAAAACCCACCCTGGGAGACGCCGAACTGGCTGCTCCGCCTCGATGCAGAATGCGCAGCGCGCTCAGCGCGAGGCTGAGCTTCTCAACTGTCAAACCTTAGAAAACCCCAAATCCACCGGGCGCGGTGGCTCAAGCCTGTAATCCCAGCACTTTGGGAGGCCGAGGCGGGTGGATCACGAGGTCAAGAGATCGACACCATCCTGGTCAACATGGTGAAACCCGTCTCTACTAAAAATACAAAACATTAGCTGGGCATGGTGGCGCGTGCCTGTAATCCCAGCTACTCAGGAGGCTGAGGCAGGAGAATTGCCTGAACCCGGGAGGCGGAGGTTGCGGTGAGCCAAGATCGCACCATTGCACTCTAGCCTGGGTAACGAGTGAAACTCCGTCCCAAAAAAAAAAAACCCCAAATCCTCCCCACAAATGAGTCACCTGAAAGTAAAAACAGTGGCCAAAGGGAAGAAGAGACACTGAGTCCCATATATGCCTCAAAAAATCACTATTAACTAAGAATTGGGGGAACTGACAAGCCAAACACCTTCGACCCACAAGCCCGCCCACACTCAGAATCCCATTCTGCTGCTAGAGATTTCAAACCTCTCACAGATAAACCCAGGGCTGTCTACACACAGTGCCTGTGAACGCTGGGGCCGGAAGGACCGGATGTCCCACGCTGCCTTTCCACTACGCCCCCGCTCAACAGGTGTCAAGAGCCACTCTGTCCCCTGGGTCCATCCATCATCTGGCCACACTTACAGGCTATGACAGTGGCAGCCAAGTGTTCAGTTTTTACACTGTCCAGGCTCAACTACGCTTCTCTTAGCTATCCCCTAAAAGCCTCACATGATGGTGATGAATTATAAATCAAATGCCCTCCTGTCGCACCCTCTTAACTCACCCAGCTGTGCCATTCCCACGTGCTTCTAAATGGCCAGCAGAGCCAGCAGAAATGGGCAGAGGCGAGAACATGACTTCAACTTGGAGTTTCTGGTGGATGTGTTTTCAGACACCCAGAAGAACTGTGAAGAGACAGCTTTCTCTGTACAGCAGCCCTCGGAGACGCTGCAGACCTGCTTCCAGGCCATCACAATAACGCAAATACCACAGTAAAGTGGGTCACGCGAATGTTTTGGTTTCCCAGTGCCTATTAAAATGTTCATGCTATATGACAGTAGAAAGTGTGCAATAGCATTATGCCCTAAAGAACCCAATTATATAATTTAAATATATATTATTGCTAAAAAAAAAAAAATGCTAGCAAAGTGAGCCCACACTGCTGGAAAAACAGCTCCAACAGACCTGCTTGAAGTGGGGTTGCCACAAACCTTCAATGTGGGGAAAAACTCCCCACTATCTGTGAAGACATATGAAGCAAAGCACAATAAATGAGGTGTGCCTCTATTAAGACTGTCCAACACAAGTACTTCTATCACAATGTTCCACAAACACTATCCTCAACACATCACATGATACAACCCCAGTGCCTTGAGATGGGGTACGTGGAGGAATTGCTCTTATGTGTAGTAGGCCAAGTGGACTGAGGCTTAACAAAAGAAACTGCAAGTGAATGAGATAAAGCGACGGAATCTGTCAGCATGGCAGTTTCGTAAGTCACTTCGTTTTGCTAGATCTTCATTTCTGAAATGAGTTTAAGACAAGATAACTGAAATCAATTATCAGGCCAGCCCACA